TACGTCTCGGTTACGGCTCGGCTCCTCAGCGAAAACCTGCATATGCGCTGCACCAGCTGCCTACTTATACTCACGCTGTGATCAGCGACAGCTGGATGCAATAATCGCATGCCATTGTGAATTGGCTCATTTAGTTTACACTCAAAGTGGATTGGCCTCTCTAAGCAAGAACCCAATTCGTCGGTCATCCGACGTGACGTCTCCGTTCCCTCCTTCGGGGAACGAGGGTTACCATACGTAACCGAGATGTTTCTTATCTTTCTTATGCTCTCATTTCTTCTCATGTAATAATAAAGTCAATTAAATTAATAAATATTTGTATTCATCATAGATGTATTAAATTGATCAAAAGTGACAGTTGTTTACATTATTATTAAGACTGCTGTTGCAAACAAATGCTGTTCTTTTGAATGTTCTACTCATCATAAATCTTGAAAAAAATATCACAACAAAAAATGCCAGCTGTTTTCAACATTAATATTAACAATAAATGTGTTTTGAGCAGCAAATCAGCATATTAGAATGATTTCTGAAGGATCATGTGACACTGAAGACTGGCGTATTGATGCTGAAAATTCAGCTTTGATCATAGAAATAAATTACATTTTTATAATACATTCAAATAGAAAACGGTTATTTTAAATTGTAATAATATTTCAAAAAAATACTGTTTTACAGTATTTTAATAAAATAAATGTAGCCTTAGTGAGCATGAGACTTTATCAAGGATTAAAATATTTATTCTGCAATAATGACCAGCTGACTGTGTATATTATTCCTTACATAACCGTATTACACAAACACTCTGGTCTTAGGTGAAGAACAGTCACACTCAGTCACACACACACAAACGAAATTCCATAATAATACAGTAAAGTTTCAGTTGTCACACACTCAGGATAAAATAGCTTTTTGCTTAAAAAGAAAGCCCAGAATCCATCTATCATGGCTGTGTGTGAGTGTGTGAGTGAGAGTGAGAGTGAGAGTGAGAGTGAGTGTGAGAGTGAGAGTGAGAGTGAGAGTGAGAGTGAGTGTGAGTGAGAGTGAGGGTGAGGGTGAGGGTGAGGGTGAGTGTGAGTGTGAGAGTGTGAGAGAGAGAGAGAGAGAGAGAGAGAGATTATAGGGAAGGAGTGATAAACAGTGTTGGGAAGGTTACTTTGGAAATGTAATAGGTTACAAGTTACCCTATTTAAAATGTAATAAGTTGTGTAATTATTTCAATTAATTTATTAGTGTAACTGATTACATTTGATTACTTTGATTACTTTTCTAAATTTCTAACAAATGTTGTTAACTGTTAATCATTTTTAAACATTTAAAGATCGCTCTGAGGTTAAATACAGATTAAAAATCAGAAGACAGTTTAATATCTTCATTTTTGCACAGCTATGAAAGGAAACACTGGCATCTAACAGTGCTTTGGAAATAAGGAATTATATCTTAAAAAAAACAAAGCATATACACAAACCCAAATAAAATGGTTATCAAATAAACTTGTCCTATTCTGTGTCCTGAAACATTGGTGTCTCATATTTTAAAGGGTTAGTTCACCCAAAATGAAAATTAGCTTGTGTTTTACTCACCCCCGAGGCATCCTAGGTGTATATGACTTTCTTCTTTCAGACGAATCCAGTCTGAGTTATATTAAAAATTGTCCTGGCTATTCCAAGCTCTATCATTACAGTCAGCAGGTGTTGCAGTTGAACAGTCCACAAGTCGTCAAATAAAGCTCGCGCATTCATAATAAAACGTGCCGCAGACGGCTCCGGGGGATGAATAAAGGCCCCCTGTTTTTGTAAGAAAAATATCCATATTTCAAACGTAGTAAACACTTTTCTCTCACTTCCGCTAACTGTCATACACTGAAGAATAATGTTCTTTTTAGCAACATCATATCACCCCTTTAAAAATATTGTACTGTAATATAAATGAAATGTGTTTAGCTATGCTGTTCTTGTTTAAACATTTTCCCCACCCATGTGGTTTTAGTTATGCTAGCACGAAAGACCTTACAGATGGCAAGAAAGTTGTCAGATTTGCTTGAAAGGTTATGAAAACTGACATTGTCTTCAGAATAATGTTCACACAGATTCAAATCAAGCAGCTTTCTATCCTGAATATGTTGCAAAATCTGCATGTGGAAATCTTTTGCTCTTACACAAAGTTGATTGTGTGAATTCCTATTGAAATGGATGGATTTCGCCTGTGAAAATTTGCCAAACTACAGTGAAGGTGATCACACCTTTACACTCCAAGGTGATGGACTTTTTGACCGAAGAAAGCAGTATTTCAGATAGAAGACTCCATTTAGACAGAAGCAACAGTTTGAAACACTAACAGTTTAAAAACCTCTTAATGATGGGTTTGTTTCTTACAAACTGCAGCTTTTCTCTTCACAAGACATTAACTGATGGACTGGAGTGGTGTGGATTGCTTGTGGATTATTGTGATGTTTTTATCAGCTGTTTGGACTCTCATTCTGACGGCACCCATTCACTGCAGAGCATCCTTTGCTGAGCAAGTGATGCAATGCTACATTTCTCCAAATCTGATGAAGAAACAATATCTTGGATGGCCTGAGTAGATTCCCAGCTTGTTTTTGTGTGAATTAGTCTATTGGTTTAATAAATACATACACAAAGGGGCGGAGCGAATGTAGAACTTTATGAATGAAGTTTAAATTCCCCAAAAAACACTTTTTGCAGAGTTGAAACCTGACATTTTGAATAATGTTCACTGATGAATTGTGCACAATAAGGTTTCATGATCACAATATCAGTAATAGTGTATCTGACATGCAGCTGGGCCTCTATTCTCCTCATGCTGTCAGAAAGTAATTTAATATGATAAAGCTTCTTTACTCTTGTGCCAGCAGCAGGTAACATTTCAGTCCTGTCTGAAATTGGATGACACAATGTCAAATTCAGCCCATGCTATCTCAACTGTAATCACATACACGGCTTTAAAACTATATAGAGTTTGGTGTCACTGTGCTGCTGTTCATATTAAGTGATTTAACTGAAGTATAAATCTGAGATGAAATTGAATATGAAGTTGAAGGTACGTGAGTACAATCATCCTCTGTGTAGATGGGACAATAAATCATGATCGAGCCATGCTCCGTTATGATTGGAGGGAAGATGATAATGGAATTCAGTTTCACCGTGTGTGAGGAAACAGATTGGAAACATTAGCGTGCTGGATTATATGTGAGCAAACTCCAGCTGAAAAATAAATAAAAGCTTTTCAACTGAGAAATAAAAGTGCTTATATTATAAAAGAGCTTAACTGCTTTTTATATTGAAACTGTAATTGTTCCATAAAACATAAAGTGGGTAAATCTCACAAAATGTCAAATTTCACCACAAAATTTAAGTGGAGGCGTCTTGATTGCTCTGCTCTTTGTGACACTGACTGACTGATTGTACATTATGCTGCTTATTACATAGCTAAAATAAATAAATAAATGAACATGCATTTTTGAGTTATTGTATTACTGTATGTGAAAAATCAGCGAAGAGTGTTTAAAAGATATAAAACTAGCATAGCTATGTTATAAATAGATGGTTTTTGAACACAGGATGTCATGATTAACCGATCGGAATTTTTTAAAGATTAAATAAAAAATGAAATAAAATGTTAAATTGGCTGATCAAGTCAAAAGTGTGAGCACGCAAACTCGTGACCAGACCAGCATGGGATGTGCAGACTGACTTGAGGGGAATATCTGGAATTCTGTGGAATTGATTTAAATGTTTTAAAATTACACAGAGCTGATAATATTTAGGGGCAATTTTGTTTAAATTTTGTAGGCAAAAGGAATCATTGTCTATTGTCAATAATGTAGTGATGTATAAATCACAGCTCACACACAGCTCATCTTGAACCTGTTGCAAAAACTGTGTGGAAATCTTCCGCCCTCATGTAAGGATTCCTATTAAAATGACTGTGAAAATTTGTCGAACAACGGTAAATGTGACCGCACATTTATACTCTTATTGGTATTGGTCAGGGCATATGTAGAACTTTGAATAAATAGAGTTTCAAATTGCCAAAGCTTTCTGCAGAGATCTGCGACTTCAGATTGTGTGTGGGTCAGTTTATGACATAAATACAAAGTGTTTTGGCACTGATGAAATCTCAGATTATTCTGTATTTTAGTGGCAAACCTCTGAGCTCAGAGATTCTGAACTCACCTTCTTGTGGCTCTTGAGCACAGATGGCGTGACGAAGGCCTTCTCACACAGGTCACACTTGTACTTCTTGTGGCCATCGTGTACGACCTGGATGTGCACGTTGAGTGTGTCCTTGCGCTTGAAGGTGGCGTCACACTGGTCACACTTAAACGTTCTCTCACCTGGACGGAGAAGAGCAGAAAAGGCACATGATTGCAGTCACAGCGATTCAAGCATCCCATTCTAACGTCACACACCCGGACTCCCCTGAGACGCCAAACTTTAGAAAAATGTCCACGGCCCTTTTAAAAGTGCAGCTTAACAGGGACTCTCTTTGTGTCCAAACCCACTTTTGCTGCCCTCAGAGTCAAAATTGCTCCATTATTCTTTTATGTGCCACTTTTTGCTTTAGAAGAAAAGGATGTCAACCCTCTGTTTCATGTTGTTTTGAAAGTTGGAATGATAAAAAAATCAGGTAGGAAAAGAGGTGAAATGTTTATCTCTCACAGTTCTTTTCAGAAGAAGGCAGTCTGTTGCTCTTCCTAAGCTTTCTTCAAATCGTACATACAGTATTGTGCTGTAAAAAAAAAAAAAAACTTCTGCTCAAACAATGCAAATACGCAGAGGCTGTGCCAAAACTCTAGTTCTGGTCTATAAACGGTTGAATCGAGTCCAACACGTCACCGCATCTAATCGGAACGGACTGAACGCTGGGTTATAAAAACCTGGACTATTGAGAGACTAGCTTGTATTCTTTGCCTAAGCATTAACAGCATTCTGCATTAAAACATTTTTGGTAGCTGGTCCAAAATCCTATAGTAGATATGTTCCCACTGACTGTGACTGTCTTCAGTGAAAGAATCATTCAATAATCAATCAACATGAAGTGGCATTCATAATCCATTTTGCTTCTATGTGAAACAAAATCCAAAAAGAACAGAATGTAAGATGAGTCTTGATTTTATCTTTTCATTGACTGGATTTTGAAAAGTGGGCTGAATGGAGTCAGATCTAAATGTGAGTTTGCAGTACATTGTGTTTTTGTATTCACCACCATTACTTTGCTCTTCTGATAGTCATAGGTGAGCAGAAAAGTCACGTGACTGAAACAGATGCATATAATGCAGATTTACACTAAACCATTCAAATGTTTCGGTTGGGAAGATTTTTTTGGTAACACTTTACAATAAGGTCATGTTAGTTCATGTTAGCTCAGGCCAGTTAAATAACATTAACAGATGCTACTTTTGATTTTAATAGTTTGTAAATGTTGAAAAATAAGTTAATAAACTAATAATAAATGCTTTAGAAGTATTTTTTCATTATTGATTTATGTTAACTAATGTAGTTAACTAATGTTAATACAGTAGAATACAGTAAAAAATATTAGTTTAAAATTACTGTTTTTATATTTTAATAAAATGCAATGCAAAGCTCATCATTTGTTACGATGGCGCCGACGGTGATGGCTGCCTCCGTGGCGTGCTCCGCAGTTGTTTTTATGTTTTTGTTAGTTTGTCCTGTCTTTAGTTATATCCCTGCAATCAGTTTCACCAGAGACGAATTGCTGGACATTCGGCAGTACACACCACCCGATATTTCACCGGTTTTCGGAAACATTTCTGATTATTATCAATGTTGAAAACAGTTGCCGCTTAAGCATTTTGTGGAAACAGTGGCATTTTTTTTTTCAAGATTCTTTGATGAATAGAAAATGTAAAAGAACAGCATGAAATAGAAATCTTATGTAACATAAATGTCTTTACTGTCACTTTTGATCAATTGAATGCACCCTTGCTAAATAAAAGTATTATTTCTTTCCAAAAAAAAAATAAATAAATTAAAAAAAATAAAATACATTTCTTACTGACCCCAAACCTTTGAATTGTAGTGCATAAGCTAAACAATTTAATTATAGCAGTTGCAATGCACATTTAAGCTATAAAATGTTTAACATATATACTCGAAATCTGCAAATCATAAATATTTTGGAATTTTATTTTGGAGGTGGGAGAGATAACACTTCTGTTAATCGGTCAAGTGATCAAGCACAATGCCAATAATAACAAAAGACTAGTCAATCTGTCAATAGCTTCTGCAATGTAAATATTGATCTTTGATTTAGTGTAAATGATACTATGCCTAAAGGCACTGAAGATGATCTAAACTACAAACACACACACGCACGGGGGGGAGGTGTTTGTGAAATATTTGTGGAGGACTTACCCTACTGAGCCACTTGGGCCTTTTAAAAACGATAATGTGTGTTTAATAGATGGTCACAAAAACAGCTTTATTTCAAAACCAAATATTGACACAGATGGATCAGATTATGTCACAGTGGGCCGTAAGTGATCACACACACACACACACACACACACACACACACACACACACACACACACACACACTGTAAATGCAGCACACATCACACAAACCCACTGCGCAACCCCTGCCCTCCAGATACATAAAAGAGTGTTAGCCCAGTATTTCTATATATGTGTGTGTGTGTGTGTGTGTGTGTGTGTGAGAGAGAGAGTCTCTGGGGAGGACAGCAGGAAATTCCTCTAGCTCAATAATCTCAGTGTGATCAGTCTAGACTGGGCAGAGCAGCGCTGAGGTCCATCCTGCCTGGCCGTCGGCTCCAGGAGCCCCTGCACCCGCAGACACAGAGCCCAGGGTTCGGGGGGCGCTGGGGGCCGATGGAGAGGCTCATGTCAGTCTGGACGGGGTCTGATTTGAGCGTCAGGATGCTTTGAGTTGCTCACATTTACTCACGAGTATATGCACAAATACAGACACTCACTGGTATGAATGAGGAGGTGGCGCTGTAAGGAGAACGGGGTGCGGAAGAGGGCCTTACACTCCTCACACTGGAAAGGCCTTTCCTCTGAATGAGTCTGCAGACAGAAAACAGGTCTGAGAAGTGATTTAAGAAGCTGAAGGTTTCGTTAATGAATCAACAACAACATGAAACACCATTCATGATGCATTAAACTTCCATAATGTGACATATTTTGGTGCCTCGTTCAGTAAAGGTTGGTGTTACTTTTTCAGACTTATGATTGTCACTGATGAACGATATTGACTTGTATGAGCCACCTATTAATCACCCACAACACCATAGAAACCACAGAGCAACACACGGGCAAAGACCTAGAACAGTGCTTTTCAACCCAGTGGACCGTAAATATGGGTGTAGAGGTTCGTGGAAAATAAATAAATAAATAAAAACCTACAAAATGCATTTTAGGGCTATCAACGTTATTGTGCACTTAAAGTGATAGTTCAACAAAAAATGAAAATTCTGTCATCATTTACTCACCTTCCCGTAGTTCCAAACCTGTAAGACTTTCATTCATCTTCAAAACGCAAATTAAGATATTTAATGAAACCTGACAGATTCCTGTCGCTCCGCTTTAAGTCCGCTTACCCAAAATTTTGACACTTCAGAAAGTTCATGAAGACCATTTAAATGCAATCCATATGAATCCAACAGTTTAATAAAAGTCACTTTCACTTTATATGATGAGCAGGTTTAATTTAGGCAGTCTGATCAACACATACATAGAGCACATCAAATATGGTAAACAGAAGCTCAAAGTTTTCATTTATTGTTGATTAGAGTCATTTATTAGGAAAGTAAATGTTGTCTTATCCCTCTAGTTTTCAAAGTTGCTTTCTGCGTTCTTTTCTCTCTTTCACACACTCTCTGTGTTCAGAGCTGTGTGGGGTTTTGGGGTTAATGTTTATCTGCCGGGTGTAAAGGTCAGGGGTCGTGCGGGGTCACTACAGGTCAGGGTTAGGCTGAAGGTTTTGATTAGGCTCCACAGTGGCTGATTGGGCTTCAGATCTCCATTAAGATAAGATGCCAGCAGTTTATTTGGCCAAAAATCTGTCGGATCAATCTATCCGTCTAACCATATGTCGTCCCTGTTTAATTCTGCCGCTCTGCCTGACTTTGAACTGGAACTAATGAAGGCCTCTCAAGACATCAAGAACAAACACACACACTGACTGGTACCTTTTTGTGGTTCTTGTAGACATTGCGGTGGACGAACTCCTTCCAGCACAGCTTACACTTGTAGGGTTTATCCTCACTGTGGATGATCTTGTGAGCCGTGGCCTGATCCAGACGCTTGAAACTTCGGCTGCAGATGTCACAGGTGTACGGACGCTTTTCTACACACACATCGCAAATACAACATCTTAGTAAACTAGCTTTTGCTGGTGTAATTACATTACTTGTATGTAGTGTGTGTTGTTTACCAGAGTGTGTGATCATGTGTCGCTTCAACTGATTCGTGGAGATGAACTTCTTATCACAGTCAGTACAGTCAAATATCTCATGAACCTGAAAACACAGCAGAAAAATGTATTTTGTATGTACAAAAAATACAAAACAATACAGTGAACGATCTAAAAAAGAAAACAAAATTCTGTCATCATTTACTCACCCTCATGTCGCTTCAAACATTTATGACTTTCCTATTTTTGCGAAACACAAAAGAAGATATTTTGAACCAAACAATTTCGGTTACCGTTCAATTCCATTGTATGGAACTAAAACACGTTTCTCACAAATCCTTTGTTTGAAATGACATGAGAGCCCTTTGAGGGCTCAAAACAATAACTTTCAAACAGTGAACTCTCAGTGTCACCAATTGTGTTTAGTAACCACAAAGTACAACGCACTGACAGACCAGACCAGAATCGAGCGCTCTGTGTATGAACGTAATGACCAGAACACATCTGAGGTCTTTTAATGGACCGTTGAGGGTGATTGTTGAACTCTTGGGTGGGATTTAGTTGCCTGTTCTTGGTGTGTGACCTTGAAAATATCCTTAACCCAACTCACAGAGGACAACACACACACACACACACACACATGGACAGATGGAAATGTAATTAAACTTCTGAGCGGTTTTGAATAACTCCGCTGCTAAACACAATTCTGCTCTTCAGCTGACAAAAGTTCACATTTCAGTCCGATTTCTCGCAGGGAATCAGGAGGTACAAATTACTGTGAACTCCAGCCAGTCAGTTTCCGTTGAAAATTATAAACGGTCAATAATAAAACTGTCACATTTTCTCTGCTACTTCATCCAGTATGATGAAAACAAGGCGCCACATGTGTCACAGTGCTTGATGTAAAACCAGTGTTGAAGTACTTTGAAACACTATCTTTCCGAGCTACAAGCTTCTAAAAATGTAGTTTATCTACTTTAAATTATTAGAAATCTGTAGCTACTAACTCTTTTGAAGTGTAGTTGGCTGCACTACAAACTTCTAACATAAAGCCACCTACATTGAAGCCATTTAAAGAGGCAGCAGCAACCTTAACATCAAGCGTGAACATTAGTATACTAAAGTAAATATAGATAAAAATTTGTTACATGCTGTAATGAACACTATTGAGTGATGACTCAAATGAACAATCATTTTAGAACTTTAAGAATGAGCTGATTCAATGAACTTCAATAACTTGAGAATTCTGGGAGCGTGTGCAATTGTTTTCTTGTTTCAAGCTTTGTGCACAATACAATGTAATATAAAAAACAGGCTTTTTCTCACAAACTTTCCCACTACAAGTTGTTACTGTAAAAGCTGTGATATATGAAATTGTCTGAGCTACTGCTAGTGCAATTAGTAGCATTGTAGCACTGTATAAAATAGTGTTGACAGTCCAGCTCAGATTGCACTGTTGAAACTATGTAGTGGTTTTACACAAAGTAATTGTCCAATTAAACACTCACCGAAGTTTTATACGACTGTGAATAATCTGTCGTTGTCAACTATAAATCTGAGGGATTTTTCCAGTGGTATTTTATTGCCCTTTTTGCAGTGATGGCTCCTTAAAATTGTGTTTTGTTAAAAGTTAAGATGTAAAGTAAATAGTATGTTTAAACATCATCTGTGTGAGAACCTATAAAGACTTATACAGGGCAGGGTGGGGTAAGATGTGCCAGTGGGTAAGCTGTATCACAAAATGCACCAATACTTTGACTATTCAAGAAGACAGTGTAAAAGTAATCCATATTCATATAAACATTGATGACATTTGCAGTAAACGTTAATCAGCATGCATGTATTGAGCACATCAAATATGGTAAATGGAAGATCAACTGTACTTGTTTGCTCCTTTTGTACTTTTTGAAGCATCAAAGTTTTGATGGAATTGAGGGACAGAATTTTTTCAGGTTTCAATAAAAAAATTTTAATTTGTGTTTTGAACAAACAGAAATGTTATGGGTTTGGACTGGTCCATCTTACCAGACGCTACTGTGAACATCTGATTTTGTATAGTCATTTAATTTGAAATGTCACTCTATTAAAGCACTGAAACTCATTACTAAGATCTTCTCTTTGTGTCTTTAAATACTGAGAGCAGAGCTACAAGCTCTGATGGCTTAGTTTTCTGTGAAATGCTTGGCACTTGTAATCTTCTCATGCCAGTTTATGAATGTATAGAGAAACTGTCTGCATGTGGAAGAGACTCTACAGAGTCTTTCAAGTCTTCACTCTCACAGAGCAAATCATATTCGCAGGCTATCCAACGAACGACCTGTAGTCGGATGGACACGGTCTGGTGCAAAAAGGAAGACTTGACATCTATTATACAGACAAAGATGGAGATGGATGGAAAGCCAGGAAAAAGGTCAACGAGTTGAGAAAGGTGCATGTGTTATGTATGCATACATTACCTAAAACGTTAATTGATCAGCTTCTCAACTAACTTTCTTTTGATAAAGAATAAAGGTTATACTAAATGGACAGATATAATTCAACCTACTGCAACATCGATATTACGTACATGCGCATACTTACTGCGCATTTTGCGGCAGTTTCAAAGTGAAATGTCCAATGAATGGCACTAAAACACACATTTATTACTTGACTGTGGTCACTTTTTTATTACTCTGCTTCAGGCACGTATTTCGGCGGTTCAAAATTCAAACGTCCGAGACGGGAAGTGTTGCTAAAAGGCTAATGGTGTGTGCAAACCAAAAGCAAAGTGCACTGTAAAAAGTAATCACTGAATCTACTTAAGAAAAGCGAGTAAACATAACTGATTTTTACAAATATGTTGAATTTACTTAATTACACTGGAAATCGGAAGTCTATCCGAGGATAGACGGACAAGATGGCGCCGATGTGTGTGGCTGGCCGTCTGCTCTTTATGTTCTTTGTACAGTTTGTTGTTTGTCTAAGCTCTCTTCTGACTCAAACGGTGCCTACACTTATAGTGTATGACCGGCAACAGCTCCTTAATTTAAGGAGTGGAGTAAAAGTTTTATTAAACACCGCTCCAGAGAAAACTGATTCTAATCGTCCACCTCCACCTGTACTGGCGTCCATTCCCACCTGTTTGCGTCGTATGCCATGGGATTTTACCCGGAGGAAACGCCGCAGACGGAGAGGAAAGCGGGGAGGAATTGCAGTAAAGATAAAACTACATCTAGCGCGGCTGTCTACGCGAGGTCCCCTCACGGCTTTCCCGGATTTTGAGCTCGTCGGTGATCGCCTCGTCTCGCGGCGATTACTGGAGTCTCCTCAGCAATATGTTCGGCCTGTGATTCCGAAGGTTCTTCAAGTTCCTCCGAGTTCCTGGTCGTCCCTGGTTCGTTTTCGTCGAGGAGGAACAAATCACAGGAATCTTCGACCTTTAAATTGTGCCGCTCAGTCAATTGGTGAGTCAGGCAGGTTAAGATGGCTCTGATAAATGCTAGATCGTTGGTGAATAAGACATTAATTTTACATGACTTTTTTACAACAAACGATCTGGATTTTTTATTTGTGACTGAGACTTGGTTATCAACTGAGGATGTGAGTCCCTTCTCTGAAATTGTACCTTCAAACTGTTCATTTTTAAACTGCCCAAGATCAACTGGAAAGGGTGGCGGCTTAGCATGTGTTTTTAAAAGTTGCTTCACTTGTCGGACTATAAAATCTGAGACTTTCTCCAGCTTTGAGGTACTGTTATTTAATCTAAAAAGGGACAAAAATGTAGCGATTGCTATTGTATACCGTCCTCCAAAGACAAACAAAGACTTTATACATGAGTTTGTTGATTTTTTTAGGTGGAATTGTTTCTAAATTTGATAGACTCTTGATTGTTGGTGATTTTAATATTCATGTATGCTGCGATACAAATCCACTTGCTAAAGAGTTTAAAAATCTTATTCACTCTTTTGACTTTGTTCAAATGGTTACAGGGCCTACACACTCCCTGGGCCATACTCTTGACCTTGTCTTGTTACATGATATCAATTTCCACAGGTTTTCCAAGTTCAACTCATTACTTTTTACAGTGTGATTATTCGCATCACGTTATCGCTCTAGATTACAAATTTTTCGTGTCACTTGCGCAAATCATTGTGTAATGCTTTCCTTCATTTTCTGATACAACCGGATGTGTCACACTGGATGTGTCATTAAGCTCTTCGCTGATTGGCTTGCGTGACAACACGTCATGCAAATTTTCTGCTCGAGTTGAAAATGTTTGGTAACTTGTGCGGAAGATGCGATTGAGGCGTTTATCGTGTGGTCGCGGCAATCACATCGCCAAATTCATGTCATTCACTTCTCCTGGTGCGAATTCGCGTCTATTCGCATCTTTGCATTGACTTTGTATGTAATCTACTCATGCAAAAAATTACATTTGCTTTTGGTGTGCACACACCATAATGCTCTATCGTGTTGGAAAACAACATACCGCCTACACCAAACCCAACCCTGAACCTACCCAATAGTGTTGACGAATGCTATAAAAACACATTCACTGATGCAACTGTGGTATTTTAACTTACTTATATGTGGGTTTGAGCTGTTTTGTCGACCCGTAGTTTCATGTGATTCATATCGGAGCGCTTCAACTCACAAGAGCAATGCCGTATGGTGTGAGCTACTGAGCAAACCTACTGCGTTAGAAAATCCATACACATGAAGCTGTATATGTGACGCTAACGTTGAAAAGTGTCAACTCTCACAGCATGTTAAAATTGTTTTGAAGTCAAAACATATTGTGCAATGAATTGTGCGAAAATTAGGCACTCTCGCTCTGTAAATCATAATTTGTGAGAAAACGAATTAAAATAAACGGAGTTTTACTGCCTCTAGTGTTCATTTCAACTAGAAACTGCAGTGATTCGTATGTATAGGTATGTTTTTTGGGCACGTATTTCCAACGAGCCTGGGCAGAAATATTATAAAAACATTCTAAAATAGCATAATATTAATGTCACGTGTATGTTCCCGTTTAGTTCCTGTTTTCCTTATTTGGTCCTTCCTGTTCCTGTCCTCGTTGTATGAATTTGCTTCCAGCTGTGTTTGTTTAATTAGTTAATTTGCTCC